CCAACAATTGATGAAGTGGCTATTGTCGTCGTGGGAGAAAATTTAGAAAACCGAGACATTGTTTTACTTCGGCGGAACGAACAACTTCAGCGTGTGTCTAAAACACATCGATCATATGATGCCTTACAATACGCTAAGGCGGTACGAAATTCGCCGGGTCAGCTAGTTGAAAATAAAAACGAAAAATGTAATACTCGTTTGTGTGCCAAAAGCAGCACTATGCACAAAGACTTCTCTCTTCGATCGAAAGAAATACTATTGCTTATTTGACACAGGAAGTAAATTTAATTTAATTACGAATAATGTTTTCAAGTCGCTACGAAAACCTGTGTTGAAAGAAACAAACATTTGTTTAATAGGTTTTGGTGACCGAACGGCAGGTAATAATATTAAACCAATTGGAGAACTTAGTATTGATATAAGTATTGAAATTAAGTTTTATTAAGTTAGTTTAAATTTTTTGGTGGTACAATCAAATTTAATGGACATTGTCGTAGTGATCGGCGAAGATTTTTGTTTGCAAGCAGATATACAAATAAATCGTGATGGACTTTCTATTCGAAAAATTCACTGTGACAATGTAGAAAATGTTTTTAATATGATGGAAGTGGACTCGGCTGTAGACAAATGTGATATCGATGAAACAAATAGTGTGGAAGCGAAAGAAAAAGTTCGTAATATGGTATGCAAATATAAGCCGAGTAAGTGCAAATCAACAAATGTGGAAATGAATACTGTTTTAAGTGATGAAACTCCAATGTCGTTTAGACCTCGTAGGCTGCCATTAACACAAATAAGTATTGTTGATATCAAATGGATCAGTGGATCAAAGACGGTATAATTGAAAATTGAAATTCTGATTTTAGTAGTAGCAAAGGAGACGGTAGTCCAAGATTGTGTGTAGATTATAGACAATTAAACAAAGTAATTGTAAAAGATAGATTTAAATTACCTTTGATTGAAGACCAGCTAGACCGATTGCAAAACGCAAAAGTATTTAGCACAATTTACTTAAAAAATGGATTTTTCCATGTACCTGTGTCTGAATCTAGCCGCAAATATACGTCATTCGTTACACATGGCGGATAATATCAGTTTTTAAAAGATCCATTTGGCTTTTCGAACTCTCCGGGTGTTTTCCAAAGACATGTAAATGCAATTTTCCGTGATTTGATGCGTAAGGGTATAGCACTCCCTTACATAGACGACATAATTATACCAGCTATGAACGAAAATGATGCAGTGCGTAATTTAGAAGAAGTGTTGAATCAGTGTAAAGACTATGGACTTGTAACTAATTGGAAAAAATGCCCATTTTTAACCCTAGAACCATAACGTCATTCTATACTACGTTAAGACCAACTATGCGTAAATTTTACGCAGAAATGAGAATCCGCCTAATATAACCCGA